ATACGACTCCCTCTCACAGTCGACGTCTCAACGATTCTCCCGTTCGATTCCCTAATCCTAATAGCGGGTAAACCAAACACAATTACACCAAATCGAACCGACGAACACAATTACACCGAATCGAAGAACATTGAAAATTTCTTACTGCCGAATCGAAGAACATTCTACTTCTTGCTGCCAAGTGCCGACTTCTACTTCTTGTTGTCGACATTTAATTTGTTTGATCGCCAATTACACCAAAATCGTAATATATTCGGGTTATTCAACTACAAAATATTCGGGTTATTCGGGTTATATATTTATGAAATCATAAGAGTTAAAAGTAATACAAAATATTTGGGTTATTCGGGTTATTCGGGCTATTAGGGTTATTCGGGTTATTCGACTACAAAATATTCGGGTTATTCGGGTTATTCGACTCCTTAATCATCTTGCACAGGTTATTTGGGTTATTCGGGTCGGAATCGAACCGAATCGATAATACCCGAACCGAACCGAACCCGTATTGCTTATTTGGTTCGGTTTTTGGTTCATACAATTAGCCTTATTCGGTTTTCGGTTTATTCGGTTCGGTTCGGTTCGGTTCGGTTCCGACCCGAATAACATCCCTAGTTTGGGGTACAGTTTTTGGAAGCTTTCGGTTTTTAACTTCTAAAAAAAAAGCTTAAAATAAATAAATAGTTTGGTGCGGTAATAGTAGCTTCTATTTTTTTTTTAATCTAAAATAAAAAGCTTAAATCCGAAAACTACTTCTATTAGCATTTTATAATTTTTTTTTAATAATTTTACAAATTGACTTACTTACCTTTTTTAAAAATCAATGACGTTTTAAGATAATTTATTTTATGAATTTTTGTATGTTTAAAATTTTCCATCTAATTTTTGAACACTCATGCACAAATAAAGTTCCGCCTTTTAACTAGTTTGGCCAACAATACCTATTTGTTAACTTTTTGTAATTCACTACAAGATATGGGTTTGATGGTTTTAATATAATTACACGTGGCTCAGTGGGTGGTGTATACTATATACTATTATTGCAACATTCCACTTGACATAAATCTTAAAGTCTATTGACTATTTATAATATTTACTATCTGCCATTTTCTTAGTCTACAGACCAATAATCTTTACTATTCTTACAAACTATAGTGGCCCTTTTGAAGTAAACTGATACGAATAAAAACCAATTAAAATCCAAATGGTTTTAATCGTCAAATTTGACAAAATAACCAATGTGCTCAAACATGTCTTCATCTTGCTAACTGACATTTCCCATCTTTAAAAAACAAACACGTCTATTTGATATAACAAAATAAGAAATAACCACAAATAATTTAAACTCTGTTCCCTGTGGTTTTGTACTGATCTAAAGCATATGTACTTGTAAGAAACATGTGGGGTTAAAATACAGCATTGTGTGCCAACACACACACAACTATCCCCACCAATACCCACAACACATTCACTCTTATTATTGACTACAAGCGATCAAAAAGTGGTGTACCTCCCCCGACCATTGTCACGACACACAACCCCTACCATGTCCTCTCTCAAAAGTTGAATCCACCACGTTTCGATCACAAATTCATAATCAAATCTTTTAGTTTTTGGCTCGGAATCGGTATCTATAAGCTTCTTACACATCACCTAATCATCTTGTATGTTCTCTTGCGCTTATGAAACATGTCTTTTTCCTCTATAATCAAGATATCTGATTATGTTTATGAGGTTTAAGTTCAACAATTATAAAGTTTTATGTCGTAAAAGATCAATGTAACCTATAACATGAACTGATAGCACTAAAAGAATTATCTATTAACTTATTTCTCCCCATCGTTATATAATATTTATAGTGTTAGTGGATAATTGTTGTATTGTATTCATAGCCCATTTGTATTTGTATTATTTAGGGCTGTAAACGAACACGAATAGGGCTTGTTCATGTCTGTTCGTTTAAGTTAACCGAACAAATGAACGAACACGAACAAATTTTCTTGTTCATGTTCGTTCGTTCAACAAATTACATTGTTCATGTTCGTTCGTTTAACAAATTACATTATTCATGTTCGTGAACTTGCTAAACGAACATAAACAAACAGAAATAAAAGAAACATATATGAACATAAATGAACATATAATATAGTAATGTAATCAAACACAATTAAACATATATGAAGATAAAATGAACTTATATGAACGAACATAAACAAACGTAAACGAACGTTCACGAACATAATTGAACGAACGAGACAATTGTTCATGTTCGTTCGTTTAATTAAACGAACGAGAATTTGTGTTCATGTTCGTTCATTTATTAAATAAACGAACATAAACGAACTTCCTGCCGAACGGTTCACGAGCAGTTCGTTGAACGTTCAGTTCGTTTACAACCCTAACATTATTTATATGTAATCAATCTACAACTCATGTATATGTACCCTTTGTGTATTGTTTTGTAATCAATGGGATTATACCATTCTACATGGTATCAGAGAAACCCTAGTTGATCCTACTCTCTCCCTCTATCGATAATACCTTCACTCTTCCCCCTCATATTTTCTTTCTGCTTCTCCCATCCCTCTTCTCATACATCTGTCAATAATACCTATCTCTTCATCATGCCTGGTGGAGAATCCTCCCAATCCAAACCTACTCACAAATCATATGGGATCACGAACATAAAGACTTATGTACCCCTTATTATTGACCTCACCAAACGAAACTATGAGCCATGGAGCACACTTTTTCAAGCCCACTGCAATTCATATGATGTTTTGGATCATACTGATCATTCGTATGATCCCCCAAAGAACCACCATCGGATCCGGAGTGGGAAAAGCTAGACAGCATGGTTACTCTTTGATTATTTGGCTCGATTTCTCAATCTCTCATAACATCGGCTCACTCTCCTAAAGCCACAGCTCACAAAGTATGGTAGAACCTTCACTCGATCTTTTATGACAACAAGGAATCCATTGCCATGCAACTCAAAACGGAACTAAGAACTATCTCTTGGGGGACTTGTCCATCCATGCATATTATGATAAGGTTAAGGAACTGGCGGACCTTCTTGAGGGGCTTGGGGAGAAGGTCAAAGAAAGGAACGTTGTCATATACACACTAAATGGTCTTCCAAGCGAGGTTGACAACATCTCCAACATGCATCCTCCCCTTCATTTCTCTACATTGGGTTATCTTCATCCTCTAATCGAGGAGGTGCTGGTGGGTCAAATTGTGGACATGGCAGTAGCCATGAAGGCCTAAATCACCACAACAATCGTCGCCGTGAGCCACAATTTGGTTGGGTCTTTCATCCGCCTCCTATGCACCATCAGTTCTCGCCATGGAACTCTTTTGCATCGTTCCAACATCAACATCAAACACAACAGTAGCCTTGGGCTGCATCCTCTTCTTTCCCAGTAACGCAGTTCTCCCAGCTAGCTCAACAGTGGGCTCGACCCAATTCTAGCAGCCCAGGTCTACTCAGAAGTCGACCCAATACCTACCGTCAATTGCCTTCTCATGGATCAGAATCCCACGTTCAATTCTTGACACCAGATCAACCCCATAGGCCTTTTTAGGTAGTGTTGACCAACCCACTTCACTGCCACACATGTTCAACACAATGAATCTCAATGACCTAGGAACGAGTGGATGGGTCATGGATATTAGGGCGACAAATCATGTTCATGCAATCCAAAGTATTCGTAGTTCTGTTTGTAATACGCATTACCCTCACTCTATTTATGTTGGTAACGATTCTGCAATACCTGTTGTGACATCAGGACACTCTATTTTTCCTATTCCTAATATATATCGTCCTCTACCTTTAAAAAACGCTATTGTTATACCCAACATCTTTAAAAATCTTATATCGGTTCAAAAATTTACTACTTACTCGCTCTATTGATTTTGATCCTTATGGTTTTACTATTCTTAATTATCAGACTCGTCATCCTCTCATCTGTTGTGATAGCTCCGCCCCTATATCCAATCACAGGATCTTCAAGTCGTGCATTCGTCTCCATCTCTCCCACCATTTGGCATCAACGACTCGGTCACTTCGACGATCAAGTCTTGAAGCATTTATTATCTAGCAGTTATATTTCATGTCTTTCATCAAAAATTAATGTTACTTGTCATGCTCGTCAGCGTGGCAAACATAATAGAATTCCATTTTATTTGTCCGTTTCTATTGTTTCTGCACCTTTTGAGATTACTCATTCTGATTTGTGGACATTTCCTATTTCTAGTAATGGTGGTTTGCAATATTATATATTATTCTTGATCATTACACTCATTATCTATGGGTGTACCCCTTAAAACAAAAATCTAAAGCTTTTTCAAAATTTATTCATCTTTCCAACATAATATCAACTCAATTCACGGGTAGCATTAAACAATTCCAATGTGATAACCAGAATAATACTCAGTTTCATAGCTACTTTGCATCTCACATAATCACCTTTCATTTTTCTTGCCCGCATACTTCTCAACCAAATGGTTGTTCTGAACACATGATTTGCACCATCAATAATATGATGCAGACCCTTCTTTTTCACTCTAACCTACCACCTAATTTTTGGCATGTGGCCCTCCACATGGCAGCCCATATTCTCAACATACTTCCCTTTGTCGCCATATTCAATGACACATCCCACTACTACCTTTTTCAGAAACATCCAACCTATGATCACCTTTTGGTATTTGACTTCCTTTTTTTCCACGTATTCACACCAATCACAAACTTCAACCCTGCTCCACCCTTAGTATATTTATTGGATACCCTACTTACCATTGCGACTTCCGATGCTTTGATCTCTCAACTTGGAAGATCATCATCTCTTGACACGTCACTTTTGACGAGTCTACATTTTTCCATACGGGTCATTCAACCTCACCGAATCTTCATCTTATGATTTCTTAAATGACTCAAATTTCTCCCTTCATCTCCGTGACAATCTTCACCCATCATTAGGCACTTCCGACACTTCTCTATGGGATCTCCTCCTCACGAGGGATCCCCTCATGCTATGAGTTCTCCTCCTCACCAAGACTCCCATCCTTCTACAGTATCTCCTCCTCACGAGGATTCCCCTCCTCATTCAGGATATTCTCATCATGATACTTCCCTTCCTAAACCTCCTCCTTTTCATCACATGCACACTCGATCTAAAAGTGGCATTGTGAAACCCGTTCACCGTCTCAATATTTATACATCTTCCTCGGTCTCTGTCTCGAGGGCACACCTACAAGCTTTGAAAGATCCAAACTGGCATAAAGCCCTGGACGAGGAATATAATGCCCTAATTACTAACGGTACTTGGATTCTCATGTCACGACTACCGGAGGCAAACATGGTCTGCTCCATGTGGCCTTTTAGAAAGAAATTTAATGCTGATGGACAAATTTCATTTGTTGGCCAACGGGCACAATCAACAACCAGGGATCGATTGTGATGAGACCTTTGCTAGGTTGTCAAACCAACCACCATACATACTGTGATGAGTATTGCGACACTGGCCAATTCATCAACTTGACATGAAGAGTTATTTTCTTCACGATCACCTTCAGGAGACTGTGTACATGCATCAACCCCCAAGATTTCGTGATACTCAGCATCCAAATTATGTTTTCCACCTTCATTGATCTTTTTATGGTCTTAAACAGGCCCCTAGGGCATGGTATCAACGGTTTGCTCAACATTCTCTTCATATGGGGTTTCACCACAATATCACTGACTCATCTCTCTTTATCTACCACCATGGAGCTAACAAATCATATCTCCTATTATATATCGATGCCATTATTATTGAATGATTCTTCTTGTAAGGTCACACCTTGTGATATGATGATCCAAACACTTTACACACTGACCACCATCGCCAGCGCCTCAAGACCTTATGAACGTCAGCATGAAGACAATGATCTTATGTAATATTTGTATATTATATAGTTATACATATATGTATAAAATAAATATTTGATCCTTAATCTTGGTGATAAGGATCAAATCTTTACTTAGAATAGGTATACATACCTTAATTAGTGGGATGTATGTTATGCAATCGTATATAATCTACATTAGGGTGAAACCCTAATGTAGGTCTTGTGACCGCCTTAGTGACCTTTTTTCTCTTGGTGAGAACACCCCTTTCTTGGTGAAAGACATCTTTGTGATTACTCATGTTCTTTATTTTTCTGTTCAATCTTTGTTTAGTTAGTTTGTTCTTTGTTAATTATACTTGAAGTGTATCCGATCGATACAAACCATTAATTGGTATCAGAGCGGGTTTTTTATACACTCAAGTATTTATGTCGACCTCTTAAAATCCAAAATTGTTTTCTTGAAAAAAGATCTCTCCTTTTGATGAATTCAACTTTACTTATTGGGAATCAAAGGTCATGGACGCTCTCGAGATCATCGACTATGACATGATCGACATCATCAATAAGGATCCCGTCGTCGTTATGCATCAACCATCCAATGATAGTGCATCTAATAGTGAGTTAAATAAGAAATCTGTGCCGGGATACAACAAGGAAGAGAAAAGGGTGCTAAATCTCGATGTAAAGGCGAGAGTTCTTATTTGGAAGCTCTCTCCCATATTCTATCTATTTTTACTTTCAAAACTGCTTAACTGCACAAGAGATGACGATCAAACTATCATCTATTTTTGATAAAGAAAATCTATCAGATGACGAAGTTTTAAAAGGTAAGTGTCTCATGGCTCAGATCAATGAATCTCATGCTGCTGCATTGAATGACAACGTTGACACTCTTGACGGTGATCTTTCTCAAGCTGCTACAGACCTTAAGTATGATTGGGTCTCAACCTCTGCGTATCACTCGTGTTTCAATTTATCTGTTTCAAATGAAGAAAGATCTTCTCCTAAAATTGAGTAAAAAAATCTCATAGAAAAACCCTACCTTTTTTGAAAAATCTCATTCTCTTTTAAAAAAAAGGAAAACACTTGTATCTCAATGACCAACAATTTTCTTCTCTTTGAAAAAGAAAAAGCTGTTGGTCATGCTAGATGTACTCAACTTATTTTAAAAAACCGGGCTTCTTCTCACTATAATGTTACAAGAATTATTGAAGATCAGATTCCTAATCCGCGTGAGAAAATTCTTAGAGGCAATATAGAAGATGTTTTTTTCCTTAATCAAAAAGGTTGAGACTAAACAAACCTTTTATAATGCTGACTGCCTAGAGAAAAATTTTAAAGTAGATTTGTAAGTACCTCTTTTATAAATCAAATTTTTATTAATACACATTGCACTACTAACCCTAATGGTAACACCAAATGTGTATATTATTTATCTGCTCTTGATCCTTCCCTTCAACCTCCTCATCGTGAGTATGTTTTGCCTTCCACTAAGATTTTGCTGAAATTCCCTATATTAAATGGTGAAGTTCATTCGGTAAACAAAATTCTTAGCATTTTTCCTCAGTGCCTGTTAACAACTTTGAATTTGGAGATCAATCAAAGTCTTATATTCCAGATGATTCTTCAATATCTCCTGAGCCTCGTGACAAAGTGTCATCTAATATTACCATCGATGACATTCCTTGGTCTAGAACGAAAGCAAGATTTTTTAAATCAAGTGATCAAAGTTCTTTGGATTCAATAGTTAAAAAGAAACCAAAATCTAATGTTAAAGGAAAGAATCCTGGAACCAGTGTTTGTTATTGATGTGGTGATGCTTATCATAAAGTCAATAAGTGTACTTTTGAGAAGAGCTCTGTACGTGTTGACAATATCATGACTCGAAATGATAAATGGATTAAAAAGCAAAACTCTTTAAATTGTCTCCCTAATGCTTGTTATCATATTTTTTCTTAGTGACCTATTTCAAGATGGGTCAGTATATATTAGTTGTGTATTTTAATTTTAGGGTAAAGAACGTATTTGGTATTTAGATAGCGGCTGCTCAAGATATATGATTGAATTCAAATCTCTTCTGGAAGACTTCATAAAGAAAGATGGTCATACTGTTACATATGGAGATAATGGCAAGGGATCTACAAAGGGATATGGAACTATCAAGTGCAATTGCGTTATATTCAAGAATGTCTCTTACGTGAAAGGTCTTCAGCACAATCTCATTTCAATCAGCCAACTATGTGACATTATTCAAAAAGGAAATGTGGACCTGTTCTACATCCTACCCACCGATCAACTGGCTGACATTTTCACTAAGATATTGGACGAGAAGACTTTAAACAAATTGATTGCAGATCTTGGCATGCTTTCAATGATTTAATATTTTTCTAACTCGCTTAAAGAAACTTTGCTTCTACTTTCTTTCTTAGACCACAAAAAATACAAAAACATGTGCTTCTTTTATTATGTTTTTCATTTAAATAACTTTAAATAGTTTGCTTAAGCTTTGCTTCTAATGCTTACAAGTACTCTCTTTATTATCTATGTTTCAGGCCTATCTACAATTTATCTGCACTTCTTTCTTCTAGAGTTATCAAGAGCTGGAGTCATTCAGAACGTTCTGAATGCTTTAGTTGCTAAGAAGAATATTGGCATCAAGACTTCTTCTTATTGACAATGTCATCTTTCTCTTCTACCCATTGTTATAGATGCAAATAGTCATAAATTGTTCGATCTTGAAAAAAAACCTAACCGACAATTTTGGGCTCCTCTTCCCAGCAGGATCAAACGCCGGCTAATCAGCCCCTGTTTCACCCAATTATATATGTTTCCCCATATAGTTTCATTTGTTGTATCATCCTTGGTATGGTAGCTGTTGTTTGGAGTTTTGGAAGAGTTCGTTGAATGCTTCCTGTCATCAGTCATAGGTGCAATCAAATGGTAGGGATTGAAAAGTGGGATTTAAAGAATGACAATAAAAATAATGGTGCATGGAATGTTGATAAGGTATCTACTCCATTTTATTTTACCAATTTCCCTCCAGATGTTGATTCTAAGAAACTCTGGTCAATCTATGAGCAATATAGGCATGTGTCTGATGTCTATATTGCTCGAAAGTTTTCTAAATTAGGAAAATGATTTGCATTCATTAGATTCATCAAAGTAAAGGATCAATCTAAGTTAGAAGAAAAATTACGTGGTATATGGATTGGGAATCACCATATTTTTGTTTCTTTGGCTAAATTCGGTAGAGGTGATGCACACAATAGGCTGGATCAGGTTAAAGAAAATTCAAGTTATGGGTTAGATGGAGATAATTAACCTTAAAAGGGTCCTTCTGTTAGTGGTTCTTATGCAAATGTGGAAGGAGTGAAGTTGAACCAATCTAATTCTAAACCTACTGTTTCTTTGGTATTGGAAGGTAAGGATGTGTCTAATGATCTAGCTTCTAAGCCTTCAATTTTTTGTCAAGTCAGGAATGTTAGACTTATCCCAAAACTGTTGCTGCTATTGAAGGAAGAAGGGTTTCATGATTTACAGATTCGATACTTAGGCGGTGAATGGGTTTATATTGCTTTTATTTCAAAATTTGTTTGTTCTAAATTCATAAAATCTTCTGAGATTCATGCTTTCTTTTCTAATTTAAGGTTGGTGGTTAATGGATTTAAATTCCTAGAGAAGGTTACATGGGTCGAAATCTTGGCTTTACCATGTTGTGCATGGAAGGAATTGGAAGTGAGTAAGGTGGCCGTGTTATAGGGGGAAGATTGTTCTTTGGAAGATAACATGCAATCTCCTTTGGATGTCAAAACGGTGTGTATCAAAACTATTAAACCTTCACTGATTCACGAGAAATTTAGTATATTAGTACAAGGGATCCACTATGAATTGGTGGTTAGAGAGTTAAGTAATTGGGAACGGGACATTGTACTTAATGAAGACGAATTGGATCGTGATATGCCTAAATTTTTTGGTGATTATGATAATAATGACATGTTATTTGAGAATAATGAGGGAGACTGCACAACTGGTGGCATTAATCAAGAAAAAGATGATGAAGTTGGTGATAATGGTTCATGTGAAAATGAATTGGATGATATTGGTATTAAAGGTGTTGGCTTTGTAGATAGAAGAGGCCATTTTTTTCCAGACTTCAAGGTTGAAGAAGAAAGTTTTCCTGGTGGGCATGCCTTCGATTGGGCCACCCATTGTTGATCACTTTCTGACCCTAGATTATATTGTTCCAAGCTTGACCGTCATTGGTGCATCGCTTTCTCCTCCAAACGTTTTGCCTGTTAAGGCTGCTGTTCAGATTAATGGAGTTGATGGTGAGCAGCCTGAGTGTCTTTATCAACCTCCTGGCTTCCATCATGATCATAATTCAACACCTGATAGAATAATGTTAAGGCTAACTCCTCAAGTTCTAACGAATCTTTTAAATTTTTGAAAAAAAGAGTTCTGATTAATGTAGAAGATATTACCGATGTAAGGAAGCAATACATTAACATTGGAAATTTACTTGGGTATGACATGGAAGGTAGTAAGGAGAAGGTAAAGCAAATCTTCGCAAGTATTGGTATGATTCAAGTTGATCAATGAATTATATTTCCTTGAATATTTGTAGCACTTGAACTTTCTCAAAAAAGAAGTTGGGTGAGGTGTATTTGTATTCAAAAGGGAGTTTCATTTTTGAGTCTCCAAGAGACGAAGATGACTCAACTCGATTTGTTTAAAGTTTGAAGTATGTGAGGTAATTGTAATTTTGACTTTGCTTTTAGTAGTGCTCGCGGGAGATCGGTGTAACTGAAGGGTTTTGAGCATCCTAACAACCTTAAGGTGCACATACAACCCTAAATGCTTTGGATCTATGTTTTCTCTAATTATACATGCAAAATGATTTTTCAAAGCATTACCCTCACTAGCATACAATCATGGGTACCTGTATAACAAAAATCTAGTTAGAAGACATACCTATTCTTGTAGCTTGATTCCTTGGACCTTTAAGAGCCTAGCACCCCAAATGTGATATTTGAAATGCTTCGTACAACACCACCAACAATGGAAAGACTTGAGAAGGATTTTCTTGCACCAAATTCAACTATAGCTCTCCAAGAACACTTAGGTGCCGATTTTGGTAGCCTAGGGGATTCTTATATAGTGTCGCAAAACTAGGGTTACACCATGTAAACCCTAATGTGCATGGCCTTCCATATTACTTATGCTCCATGGGTTTAAACCTCCATGGATCATCCATGGATTGTCACATGGGTTTAGCCCAACATAAGGAATAATGGATCATTGGCCCAAACCATAAAAATGAATGATTTACCAAATCTACCCCTTATATTTAATTAGTTTCTTTTGATCACAAAATTAATTCCAAATTAATTCTTGATCAATACTAATTAAATAATATAATTTCATATTAATATATTAGAACTTATAATATATTAATAAATCATGAATATCCTCTTCTCAAAAGTCCATTCTTACAAATTGTTCTGGTGCCATGCAACCCAAATGGACCATGCTACTCTCGGGTCAAGTACATACAAATTATAGTTATGGGCTTAGACATTAAATCCAAATTAACATCCCAAAATCACAATAAATTTTAACTTTTCAAAAACAACCCATACCATAATTGCTTACAAAAATATTGTTTCAAAAGTGTAATTTAGTAATCAGAGTATCCTGAAATCGAAACAACATAAAAACCAAAGGAAGTGACAATTGGTAGTTATGGGCCAACAAAAGTCAAATAAATAAGTTAAAGTATTTATGACTTGCTTGGAGTTTCGGTTTTAGGAATCAAAAATATGAGATTTTGGTTGTTTGGACCGAAATCATACCTAGATCGAAATCACGCTAGCCCAAAATCATTCCTAGACTGAAATCACATGTGATTTCGGTGGTGTACAAGGTGATTTTGGTCATGCCTTTGCCGAGATCACCAATTTGATCCAATAAAGTTGCAATGTGATTGGTGGATTATTTTCCCAATGTGATAAATTACACAAACCAATGCACATGTCACTTCACCCTACCCTCTTTCCCCTATTTAACTACGACCAAAGGCTCATTCAACACCCTTCACAATTAACATATTTCACCACCATTTCTCTAAATAAATTAAAGTCCTTCCTCTCCAAACTCAATGTAACGCCCGGTTCCCGGTATGTATCTTAAATATGAGGTTTTGTATTTTTATACTAGGACTCTACGAGTTGGAGGCCCAACTCGTCGAGTAGATGTAAATTTTAGACGCAGGTGGAAGAGTCTAATCGCTGAGTTGGAAGCTCTGACTCGATGAGTAGACCTGTCTGGATAAAACCCTAAATTTTAGGGTTTACACCCTATTTAAACACATTAACCAAGTTCCCATGCAGTCCACATCATTTCCCTTAGTCCAGAAAACCCCTAACTCGTGATCCTTGAGCTTTGATAAGTGTGTGAGTCATTTTTAGAGTGTTTGTATGATCTTGAAGCTAGAGGAAGAAGAAGAAGGAGCTATAAGGTTTAAGGAAGCAATAGATCTAGGGTTCAAGCTCCATTTCCAGTCCCTTTAAGGTATAAAGTTGCTTCCTTGACTTCCTTATTGGTAGATCTCTCGATGTTGAGTTTAGGGCCATCTTTTAGCAAATTTGTGAACCTTTTTGGAGTATGGAGTGTGATCTGAAGTTGTAACTTTAGATCAGGATCCCTTTCATCCCTTTGGACATTGAAGGAATCGACGAGTTGCTTATACGACTTAGAGAGTTGGGTCATAGTTTCCCCAATATTTTCTGATATTGAGCAACTTGTTGAGTTTTGGAGATGACTCATCAAGTTTGGCTCGTTTATGGACTTAAAGATCATGGAACTCGACGAGTTCAAGGATGAACTTGACAATTTAAGAGCAACTGTCTCAACTAAGATGAAGATAAACTGGACGAGTCCAAGGAAGGACTCGATAAGTTCAAATGGAAAGTCCCGATTCTGTTATATGGAGAACCTCGGTGATTTGAAGGGAAACTTGATGAGTGAAATTGCGAAATTGAGATTCTCTTAATTATGTAACTCGACCAGTTGATGAGCCAACTTGGCGAGTTTAGTCAACCAGATGTTGAATTTGAGCAAAAGTTGACTTTGACCAGGGTGTTGACCTTGACTTTGACTTTGACCTAAGTTGACCCTTGAAAGGGTCACGAGTATGAAATGGTATTTAAGGAAGGTTGTTATGTGTAGGATTTTGAGAGGAGTTGATCCCAGCATCGAGGATAGTTCAGATACTATGGGACATTGAGGCGAGTTAACTTCTAGTAGAAGTGGGTTGAAGGCACCAAGGCCACCCTACTAGTAAGAGTTGTAGTAGAGATAGTTGTCTTTGTGATAATTATCTGATATATTGTTATCTGTTATGATTATGTGGTAGTATGCTATGATGTTATGTGATATGTGATAAAAGGGGTAAGATAGACCCCAGTACCAGTCGATAGGGCCGAAAGGGTATGCCAACACCCAGGTAAGTTAGGCAGTATATGATTTGTATGTTTATGCACTAGGATGCTATGTGGTAGAGTAGGGGTGAAATAGTCCCCAGTATCGGCCGACACGACCGAAGGGGTAGACCAGCACCCTGATATGCTAGGCAAGGTTACCGGTCGACAGGACCAAAGGGGTAGGCCTACACCCTGATATGTTAGGCAACATACTGGTCGACAGGACCGACGGGGAGGCCAACACCCGGATATGCTAGGCAAGGTACCAGTCGACAGGACCGAAGGGGTAGTCAGTACCCAATTATGTTATGTAGTATGTGTTATGTATGGTATGTGATATGATGGGGGAACTCACTAAGCTTTGTGCTTATAGTTTTCACTTTTGTTTTCAGGTACCTCTTCATCGAAGGCGAAGGAGCCGACACGGTAGCAATGCATCACACACACATGATTACCACATTATGAGATTCTTAGGATTGTACTCTGACATTATTACTATTTTTATGATATGGTTTTGAAACGTGTGATTATGGTTTTATGAAATAATGTGACTCAATGATGTTTTCTTATAAATGTTTCTAAATCATTATATCAAAAATAAATTTTTGGTCTTGAAAATTGGGATCTTACAAGTTGGTATCAGAGCTTTGGTTTGAGGGATTTGGACACACTTTCAGGTGTATATGGACTCAAATCGAGGGTTTGAAATATTTTCACAAGAAAATAGTTATTCCAAAAGTTAAAGTAAAGAGTTTTAAGAAATAACAAGGTGTGTAATGCGTGCAACCGGCCGAGCTCAAGTAAGTTTTCCCCAATATACCCATACATTTTAAGTTATGATATGATATAGTTATGTGAACTGCATGCTAGATTAGGGCTAAGGATCTAGGAAGGATGCCTTATATGCCTATTATATGTGCTTGTAGACCTGCATGCTAGTACTGATTAGTTAGTGATAGGATGGCCTATTTAGGTTATGCTTGATTGTATGAGCTTTAGAATCTCATGCCAATATAGATTCTTGATAAGAGGATGGAATGATTTGATTGGATCATGTTGGTCAGATTTTACATTGCATGAATGTTGCTTGCTTTGTGCTTTGTGGGACCTTTTGGTAATGTGAGTTAGCTACTAAGTGAATATGCTAAGTCACATGGGGCACATGCCGGATAATCTCAGAGTGATGGACTTGAACCTATTACGCAACTCTCATCTGAGTCTAAGCGTTCTAGGGGCAAGTCTTTTAATCGAAGGATTATATGATCTCTGTTGCATGTGGCTATATTCATGAGGTAGCTAGTTGACATCACTCGGTATCTTTCAGCAGCTGAGGACCGGGTGGGTTCGGGAACCTAGGAAAGCCTATGATATGCTTCAGAGGGGTAGTAGTAAGGTATAATGAGACATGGGTGCTTCATTTTGAGTAAGTGACTTGGAGGATTTAGGAGGATTGCTGAGGAAAGTATGGATAAGTGTGGAAGGTAGTATTGGGCATGTACTACTGAAAGCACATGATCCATACTCGAATCGGTGAGAGTCTTAGATAATATGAGAAGCTTCGGCGAGGCAAATCCATGAGTATGTTTTGATCAACGGTTTTGTGGTTTTTCAGTTCGGAGATGGGAAATCAGGGAGGTGGTTTTGGTTCGAGTTCCAACATAGGTGTAGGTGCAGAATTGATTAGCGAGCAGATGCAGGAGTTCCTCTCGTCAAAGACTACCTGCAGTATTTTGGAGCAGACGCCTGTAATATTTGGTTCAATCAAGGAGGGGATTTTATAGGTATTAGATAGTCGTCTCAGGGCCTTTTATACTGAAATGTTGACAGGGCAGGTGGGGGCTCATCTAGAGCCTGAAGCTTGTGGATCTCAAGAATCCTCCTGGAAAGAGGATCCTATTGTTGGCTCGAGTAATTTGGGGTCAGAGTTTGGTTATGCACCTCGTCTTTAGGAGAGTCTACCGCATGA